CTTTTTTGTGTGGCTGTTGATAACAATAGGATGACCAACATGATTGCCAATGTCTGATGATGGATATGGAAGGAGATGGAGGAGGAGGAGGAGGAGGAGGAGAAGGAGGAGGAGGAGAAGAAGAAGAAGGAGGAGGAGGAGGAGGAGGAGGAGGAGGAGGAGGTGACCATTTGAGAGCTGTATGCATTGAAATTTCATTTTAATGTATGCCAATTAGTGTACATTAAAAGTGACAATAAAGTTCTGTTCTGTTCTGTTCCGTTCCGTTCCATTTCACTCCACTCCACTGTACTGTACTCTATACTCCATCCTATTCTTTTATTGTTATTTCTCTATTGTTTTTTCTTTCTCCAAATTTAGATTGCATTCATTTTTATTATTCTAATCAAAATCCTTAATTTAAAGAATATACATGCAAACCAAATAAAGATAGAGTGCATTATCACTCCCAGAAGTCACTCAAACAGTGTTTGGATCAGAAATTGGAAAAATGGACAGCCAACTCAGTTTGTGAGCATACAAGCACGCACAGGAGAGAAAGGGGGAGGGTAAATGATGAAGTGTACATTGTGATATCGCATACAAACTCCTCCCCTTAGGTTCTTGCTGGCAAGAGCACAAAGCAAATAGGAGGTTGTGTCACAAGATCAATGTAGTTCCGCAAAGCACCTGAAGGTAGAACAGGAAGCAATGGATGGAAACTAATCAAGGCAAGATCCAATTAATCAAGGCAAAATCTAACCTACAAATAAGGAGAAATTTCCTGACTGTGAGAACAATTAATCAGTGGAACAACTTGCCTTCAGAAGTTGTGATTGCTCCCACACTGGAGGTTTTTAAGAAGAAATGGTATTGGGCAGAGGTGGCTTTTTGGGCTCCTGTGCCAAAAATTGCATGCGCACTAGCGCACATGCACTCATGTGCCAACATCCAGAATGCAATGAGTGCCCCCTCCCCACACCCCCTGTGCATGCACGCGCAATCCCCCCACATCACCCCCTTACTTGCACTGCGTCCTACAGCTGATTTTGCGACTGGTTTGAGGCCTTTTTCGGCCTCCCAGAGGCTTGGAAAAAGCCTCTGCAAGGCTTTTCAGGCTGAATTATAGGGCTGTTTCATCACTTCCTGTAATACCAGAAGTAATGAAATGGGCCTAGAATTTGTCCTGAAAAGCCTTGAAGAGGCTTTGTCCAAGCCTCTGAGAGGCCAAAAAAGGCCTCAAACCAACCAAAAAATATCAGCTGTGAGGCATGTGCATGCGCAGTGAGTTAAGTTTGCCTGCGGCTCGCATGCCAGCACAAATGGCTCTGCGTGCCACTTGTGACACACGTGTCATAGGTTCGCCATCACGGACATAGAGATTCCTGCCTAAGCAGTGGATTGGACTAGAAGACCTCCCAAGATCCCTTCCAACCCCGTTGTTCTGTTTTCATAATATGCTTCATCCTTTGGGAAACATTGGCAGCACAGAGATTTATGGTAGGATTTGGCTATGAATAAGATATATATGCTCCTGGAAAGATAATGATTTGAAAATTTCTTCTCCTCTAAGACAGGAGTGAAAATATGTAAGCCATTTTGCCATCCCAATTTCTCTTTTTTGACATGCTCTACATTCCCTCCGAATTGGCAAACGTGGGTGGGATGTTTTCTTGTCCTTTTGAGGTAGGGAAGTCATGAGTACATCACAAAGCCCTACAATTCCAGATAGTCCTCAACTTACAGCCAACCAGAATTTCCGTTGCTGAGGTGGCCGTTAATTGAGTCACACCCAATTTTATGACTTTTGTCATGGCTGTTAAACAAATCACTCCCGTTCTTAAGCGAGGCACGCAGTCATTAAGCAAGCCTAGATATAGCCTCTCAGGTTATCACTATGCTTCTTTCTGGATCTTACTGGCTGAGTACTTACACATTCTGTTGCCGTAATGGTTAAAGAGCTGGAAATGAGCGACTGCCCTTGGTTCAAACTGACAAACACGTCCATTGTTCTGGAAAGACAAAAAAGGAGGAGGAATGGAAACACAGCGTTTAATAGTACGCTCACAGAGTGGACTGACCAGATATAATTAAAATAGAGAATGTGTCAATGGAGCCAAATCTTTTTTTTTTTTAACAGACTATATAACTTTATTTGTTTATTTTGATTAGGCTAAGAGAAATTTGTACATTGAAATTACAAAAAGACCTCAGGCATGCACGTGAACCTTATTGGAGATTGTTCTACATAGCATTCTCTTTTTTTTCCCATAGGAAAAAAACTCATAGTTTTTTCTGTACATACCTGTACAGCCTAAACCATAGAGAGCAACCTAGGATCATGTCAAATTTACATCGTGCAAAATCAAACATAAAAATAGTGGTACAACAACAACAAAAAAATGTAACAAGTATATTTCGTTGTAAGACGAATTCAGATAGTTTTGGTCCTTCCATCCCAAACCATATTGATTACTACATAGATCATAACAATCAAATGGTTAGGCAGTGATCTATTACTTTTCTAAAATGAATCCGAAGTAAACTCTTAAAAGATAATGTTAAGCCATATTATTAGAAGGCAGGAAATTCAAAATCAGCCATCAAGTCCCTAAGAAAAGGCCTCCTTAGATGAAAAGGGCCTTGCTAAAACAAACACAAAAACAACCCCCCCAAAACAAAAGGCCTGACCCATTATTATTATTATTATTATTATTATTATTATTATTATTATTATTATTTGGGGGGGGATTTCAAGCCAAATCTTGATGTTAACTGGTTTGGTAAACAGGTCAAAGCAAGAAACTCAAAATCAAAGTATAGATGGTCCTTGACTTACGATCACAGTTGAGCTCAAAATTTCCATTGCTAAGTATGACATTTGTTAAGTGAATTTTGTCCCATTTTGCAACTTCACAGTTAAGTGAATCACTGCTGTTGTTAAATGAGTCACACGGTTGTTAAGTGAATCTGGCTTCCCCATTGACTTTGCTTGGAAGGTCACAAAAGGGGATCACGTGACCCCAGGACACTGCAACCATCATAAATGTGAGTCAATTGCTGAATTTTGGTTACACAACCATAGGGATGCTGCAATGGTCGTAAGTGTGAAAAACGGTCGTAAGTCACCTTTTTATTGCTGTTATAACTTTAAAAGGTCCCTAAACAAATGATCGTAAGTCTAGGACTACCTGTATGTTTGGGGGGTGGGGTTGTAATGAATGGCTTGAGCTATCATTTATAAATGGAGAATAAAGCTACCAACCCTTATACGATCAGTAGAGTTGGAAAAAAATTGCTCCTTGATTGTACCACCTCCAATAAAAGATTTACCAAACTGAACTCAAGACAAAACTCTATTTATTGGGGATAATCAAAAATCAATATCCGAAAAAGATAAAATACAAAATATTACATATTTTAACAGCGGCCAGAATAGCCTATGCGCAAATGTGGAAAGGGCCCAAGGTTCCAACAATAGAATTAGTCTTACAAAAAACAGCAGATTGCGCAGAAATGGATATGCTCACACTAAAAATGAAGGAAAAAGAAGAATCTTATTGTTACTCAATTTGGCATAGATGGTACAAATGGTTAGAAAATAGAGATAAGGATTGAAAAAGGAAGATTACGTAGGAGAATTCCTAAGAGATACATAGATATGTAAAGTAGATAAAGTTAGATATTATTAACAAATATAAGTAAAGATAACAATTATTGATGGTATGTATAAATAGATGATAGATATATAAGACAATATTATATGCCGATGCAAAATGTTGTTGAAAATGTAATTATGATTTGTACTGGTGGAAAACAATAAAAATCATTATTTTTTTAAAAAAAAAGATTCATCCTTGAAGTCTTCCACAGATCTGTGCTCCAAGCATCCTAAAGTTAGTAAGGTCTGAGCTGACTTGGTGCCTAATCAAGAACCAACGATGGCTAGAAAGCTATTTCTAGAACACCTTGATGCTGAGATCCACAAAACCATAGAGATGGTGGTAGACTTTAGGAGAAACCTTCCCACACTACCACCTCTTACAATACTAGACAACACAGTAACAACAGTAGAGACCTTCAAATTTCCAGGTTCTATCATATCTCAAGACCTAAAATGGACACTTAAGATAAAAAAATGCCTTCAAAAAAGCACAACAAAGAATGTTCTTTCTGCGCCAACTCAGAAAGCTCAAACTGCCCAAGGAGCTGCTGACACAGTTCCACAAAGGAATGATTGAGTCTGTCATCTGCATCTCTATATCTGTCTGGTTTGGTTCTTCAACCCAACAGGACAGACACAGACTTCAGAGGATAATTAGGACTGCAGAAAGAATAATTATTACCAACCTGCCTTCCATCGAGGACCTGCATACTGCACGAGACAAAAAGAGGGCTGTGAAAATATCCACAGACCCCCTCGCATCCTGGACATAAAATATTTCAACTCCTACCCTCAAAACGATGCTATAGAGCACTGCACACCAACTAGACACAAGGACAGTTTTTTCCCAAATGCCAGCACTCTGCTAAACAAATAATTCCCTCAACACTGTCCAACGTCTGCATTAGTATTACTATTAATCTTCTCATTGTTCCTATCACCCATCTCCTCCGACTTATGACTGTATGACTATAACTTTGTTGCTTATATCCTTACAATTGATATTGATTGCTTCATACTATGATTCGATTGCTTATTTGTACCTTATGACCATATTAAGTGTTGTACCTGATGATTCTTGACGAATGTATCTTTTCTTTCTATGTACACTAAGAGCATCTGCACCAAAGACAAATTCCTTGTGTGTCCAATCACACTTGGCCAATAAAGAATTCTATTCTATGCGATCTTCTTCATTTCTGCAGCAAACCCTTGACAAGTTAAGGCCACTTTATAATGCCTTGGTAAGACCACACTTGGAACACTGCATCCAGTTTTGGATGCCACGATATCAAAAAGATGTTGAGATTCTAGAAAGAGTGCAGAGAAGAGCAACAAAGATGATGAGGGGACTGGAGGCTAAAACATAGGAGGAACGGTTGCAGGAGTTGAGTACGTCTAGTTTAATTAAGAGAAAGACTAGGGGGTATCATGATAGCAGTATCAATATTTGAGGAGCTGCCATAAAGAAGAGGGAGTCAATCTATTCTCCAAAGCACCTCAAAGCAGGACAAGAAGCAATCGATGGAAACTAATCAAGGAGCGAAGCAATCTAGAACTAAGGAGGAATTTCCTGTTCATTACAATTGATCAGTGGAACGACTTCCCTCTGGATGTTGTAGGGGCTCCCACAACTTCAGTCCCAAAGTGCTTTTTTTGAGAGGCAATTGGACATTGTGGAAGTCGAAAAAAGCCCCTTTGGCACAACCATGACCTGGATGACGGAGAATCTCTATAGACACCCATCACTTTAGGTTTTTAGGTGCTTTGGAGAATAGCTTGACTCCCTCTTCTTTGTGGCAGCCCCGCAAATATCCAAACACTTTTATCCTGTTACCCCTTGTCCTTCTTTTCACTGAAGTAAACATACCCAGTTCCTGCAACTGTTCTCTGTATGTTTTAGCCAGGGCTGCAATTCAACTGGTGTAACAACCGGCTCAGCGCCAAATGCACACTCCACGCGCATGCCCCACATTTAAAAAAGCTAATACTTACCTTCAACTGAAGCTGAAGAAAACAGCTGAGGCACGGCAAATTGCCCTGCCGCGCGAATCAGCTGTGCTTTAACAAAAAGACATACAGCACAGGAAAGAGCAGAGGTCGGCGGGCGGGCCCATATGCTTGTTGGAGTGAACCGGTTAGGAGCCAGTTGATCGTCGGAGCAAGGGATCAACCAGAACCAGTCCGAATTGGGAGAATCCCACCCCTGGTTTTAGCCTCCTGTCCCCTCATCATCTTTGTTGCTCTTCTCTGCACTCTTTCTAGAGCGGGGGTCTCCAAACTTGGCAACTTTAAGACCTGTGGACTTCAACTCCCAGAATTCTCCAGCCAGCCGTGTCTGTTTCTTTCTTTCTTTTTCTTAACCTCCCAAAATTGAGAGGTTGCAGAGGAAGGGGTTAAAAGAAAGTATGCTGGCTAGAGAATTCTGGGAGTTGAAGTCCACAAGTCTCAAAGTTGCCAAGTTTGGAGACCTCTCTTCTAGAGTCTTACCATCTTTTTTTACATCATGGTGACCAAAACAGGATGCAGTATTCCAAGGGTGGCCTTACCCCAAGGCATTATAAAGTGACTTGAGTAAATATAGATAGGTAGATATTCTTGGTCCCCATTCAAGACGGAGTATCAATGGTTTGCAGTGGGTCTGGGATCAGACTGGTAGGCTATGTTACAGTTAAGAAACATTGAATGGAAAAAAGGCAATACGAGGGACTCGTACATTGGCCTATGGCCCAATGAGACTTAAAACCCTGGACTCAGCTCAACACCACTGTTCATCCCAGAAGCATAAAAGAAATTTAAAAAAAATGGCAATCTAAAAAAAAAAAGTTTTGAGTAGTCAATCCAACTGTGAGTTCTTGAGATGTGAAGAATTACATGGATTCATTCACTCACGCCCATAAAAATGTCAGGACTGGCAATAAACTCACTAATTACCACTCCAGCAACACAGATATAGCATAAAGGCCACTAATTAGGACTTGGTGGGGCTTTCTAGGAAGAGAAATTAGGCAGCAGAGAAACGTAAATAGGAAAGCGGTTTCTTATTTCTTCAAATAACTTTGGAGAAACCCAGACACATGGTAAGGATTAGAGATCAGCTGCTGCTGGCCAGAATCCGAACCACCTCAGCAGGTTTCCTTATATGCTTATCTTTAAGCTGGAAGAGTCAGAGTTTTAGAGATGTTTGTGGATTGTGAATTTACGATCTCAGCAGCATTTTATCTATTAAAGCTAAACCACAGCCTTTCTTGAACCACTTTCATCAGCTATATGCCAATTTGTCTCAACTATCCTTTATGTCAGCGTTTCTCAACCTTGGCAGCTTGAAGATAGCAATAGCAATAGCAC